AAATACTTGAGAATTTTGGTCGGTGCACATCTCTCTTTTAAACCACATATCGAAAAAAGAAACTGAAATTAAAACTGGGTTTCGTTTTCAGAAATAGATCTTGCTTAACTCTGAATGCCAGCAAACGCCTTGTAACTGCTACCTTCCTACCGGCCATTGACTATGGTAACAATATTTACATGTCTGCTCCAGCCGGCTCCTTGCAGATGTTGGATTCTGTCTAACTGGTTGTAACTACCGTACCCATCACTGCACTTTACTCATTGGTCAGCTGGTCATTATTAACTTTACACAGACTCTTGAGTCACACTGGAACGTTTTCATCTTTAAATCACTCCTTGGTCTGCTGCCTTCTTACATCTCCTCCCACATGTCACGTCATCAGTGCAGTTACAGCGTGCGCTCTCAGGCCATCATGACCTGCAACATTCCTTCAGTGCAGACTGAACTCAACAAAAATACATTTTCTTACTCTGCTCCTGTAATGTGGGACAACTTGCAACAAGAAAACCTTATTTCTTTAGGGAATTTAAACATTTGATAATTTCCATAGAAACATCAAAGCAAATCTGTTCTTGTTTTTAGTATTTTACCTCATTTTATATGGCACCTTGATTTAATGCTTTATAACACTACTTTTATTTTAATAGCATTTTACTGTAGTTTACTGTCTGTACTTTATATGTTGTCCAAACAGTTCTCTCTTGTACATGAGTCTTTGTGACTCAATGAGACTAACCTGTATAAATAAAGGTTGAATGCAACATCCTGGTCATACCCTCTGTACGTTACAGAGCCGTTGTAGTGAGGCAGAGAACCATACACACTTGGAACTGTGGCCAGTTTAAAACAAAGTTTTGTGTCTTTGGTCTGTGGGAGAAAACTGGAACACTGCAGTCTCAGAGACGCAGGAAGAAAAGGCACATTTTTCGCAAAAACGCCACATCAACCAGCAGCTTAAAAGCCACAACCCACTTCTTGTGTGACCCACTTCAGCGTTGTGCCACCCACATTTTAAAGTCCTGAGTTATGATCAACAAGAGGGCTAAAATGTTCTAAACCCAAGCTAAAAGAACCTCATGTGGGCCCTGAGGGTAGAAGAACTTTGCCTTGATCTTGAATGCAGCTTGGAAACTTAAAAACTGAAAACAGAAAGAAAGGTCCGTGAAGAACGGTTCAATTCTGCACCCGTCAGGGGTGATAAATGCACTGCTTCAGGAACATGTCATGCTTTGACTTCATGTTCTATTAAAGGTCCAAATTCATCATTAATGCTGAGCTACAGTGAAGGAAACATTGCAGTGTTTTAAAAAGTCTGCAGGCTTGTGTGAAGTATCTGGGTCATAAGTGGGAAAAGTTTTCATGTCCCGGTTTTGTAACAAACCGAAACTTTCTGGTTTTAAAGTAATAATTTTTGATTTTCACAGTAATGATCGTCACAGCTCGGTCCACAGAACTTTTATTATGGTTTAGTGCATTTAATATTTTAAATTAATATTTATAAATAATGATCTGAATGGCCCAAACAGTTCATTTCTATTCCGTTTATTTATCTAGCGCCATTTCACAACAGAAGTCGTCTCAGGCACTGAACAGAAACATTGACGTACATAAAAATCAGTTGACAATACTTATCTAAGGAGAGCTCAGATTGTTTCAAAATAATTGCTTAAAGTAATAGTTTTATTTCAATATTGAGTTCTGAATGACTTTGCTAAAAAAGCTGAAACTGAGTTGTTGAAGCTAAAAGTAAAATATAGCTAAAATGAGCTAAATGGGAGCTAAAGTAGCAAAATGCTAGTTAGAATAAGTAAGGCACAACCTAAAATCTGAAATAAACAAATGCTAGCTAAAAGTGGTAATGGTAACAAATCGCTATCAACTAAAAGTTAGCTAAAAGCTAAAAAAAAAAAAGCTAGACAGAAGCTAAAAGTGGCAAAATGTTGGCAAAAGGTTAGTTAAAATCTCAAAGTGCAAAAGGCTAGTTAGAAGCTAGCCTATAATAATAATAATAATGGCTAATATTTGTTGGCTATAAGCAAAAATGACAAAAGTCTGGCTGAAAGCTAAAAGTAGCAGAATGATAACTAAAAGCTAAAAATAGCGGATAAATCAAAAACAACAATTACTTTGTCAGTTTACCTGAATACAGGAACATCTGGTTGGTGAAACTCAGAGACGGTAGCAGCGGTGTACATACAAGCTAAATGACACAACGCAAGCTAAAAGGAAATGTCAAAGAAACATAATTTTTGAAAATATTTAAGCAATCACAATTTTTTTTATTATATTATGGCATTTGTAATTGTTTTGATGTTGACAACCAGAGAGCAAAGTTGTTTTTTTGTTTTTTTTAGAACAAATCAGATGTGCGTTGAAATGGATGAGCATCATCTGCAGAAATGTTGGAATGGCTGAAATTTAGGCCTAAAAGCATTTGAAACCAACATCCCTCTATACAAAAGTTGCACATAGGGCTGCACGATATGGACCTAAATTAACATTCAATATTTTTAAGATAAATTGCGATATACGATATATATATCAATATTCAAATATCTGCTAAGTTCATGGCACAAACCAATACAGCAGACATGTTCTTGTTTTTAGTATTTTACATCACTTTATAATGTAGCTGTTTTGTTTAGTTTTTTTAATATAATTTTCTTCTGTTTATTTTTTCAATCCTTATGCTTTCTTTTACGATTGTCTATTTTTGTCATCGTTTGTTAAAAACGGGTCTCTCTCTCATAAATGAGTCCCGTGGCTCAATGAGACTAACCTGTATAAATAAAGGTTGAATGAATTGTTTTTTTTCCTTTCCATAAAATAATAACAAAAATATATTTCTGAGTCAAAGCTTTGTTCCAATTATCACACAGGTGCATTTATTAACAAACAGCCTTAACTCTACTAAATGTCTAAAAATAATAAATTAGTTTTGACCCGGTTTTTTTTTTTTATTTGGTCAGGAAAGGAGTCTGAAAACACAGTCGGAGCTGCAGCTTATAACTTATAGCGCTGTTTTAAATGGTGAAGAAGATTTGTAGTTCTCACCTTTGTTGGGACTTATTTTCGGCATCGTTTACCGAAAACATTTTTTGGCTGCTCATCTAAAAATTTAAATCCAAACCATCTCCAAATAACAGCCATTGTTTTTATTTTTATTTTTTGGACAACAGCGCTGCTTCTCCTCTCTATTTAATCGATGGACTGTTTTGTATGCGACACCAATGTATTAAATTCCCCTTCTTCATCCCTGATCTGGCCTTTTCTTTTGTTTTTTTTTTGCCAAGAGGCAGTGCTCTCTTCCTCCTCCGTTGATGCCATGACTGAAATGGTGAAAAATTAAGGAATTTGTCACGAGCAAATTAAAATCAGTCCCAGCGTGGCTGCGGGAGTGTCTGGAGATTTCCTGGTGGTCTGGTCTGATGTGTGGACTGCAGGGCCAGCGCTCCTTTTTATTTTATTTTTTTTTAAGAACTTTTTATTAACATATAAACACAGAACACCGCTGCAGCTGAGGTTGCCAGCTCTTGTTTTTGTTTTTTTTTCTGACTTGTTAATCAATCCAGTAGGCGTGTCAGCAAAGGACCAATCGGCGACCTCAATTTGTTCCGAAAGTAAACGCCCCTTTTCTGTGAAGCTGCTCTGCAGCCGCTCAGGATGGACGCTCAAGCATGAAGCCTGAACCCTCTGCATACGTATGCACGAACGGACGTACGCGGGAGTATACTGGGGGCTTTACTTGTCTTAAACTAGCATGCGTAGGTGAGGTGCTGTGTTTGTAGTCAGAGGGAGAAGGAGGGGCTGAGTGTATATGGAGGCACAGACGGGAGAAAAAGAACTACATGGATTTTCAAGTCTAATACTCAACAGTTGCGATAAAGCCATTTTAACCTTCGTAAATAGAAAATCTTGCGATACATCGAGTATATTTGATATATCCCCCAGCCCTAGTTGTACACGAAACAAGATTCATAGCATCATCTCCTGACAGTCGTGAATAATTAGAAATGTAAATGTCTGTAATAAACCTATAGACTATATAGGAATATGTTCGTTCAAAAATGGTGGAAGACAAAATACTAATACAGTATGATTGAAAATGTAAACATTTTAGGATGTAGAAATGATTTTTGAAGCACATAATTTCTCCATCTTGTTCAATGTTTGATGTGACTGAGGTGGGATTTGAACCCAGGTTGTCTGGTTGGTGGGCAAAGACTCGTTCGTCTAGCTAGCAGTTGTGGTTGTAGTGAGAGAGTGAGCGGGCGAGAGAGAGAATATATAAAAAAAGTTATTTTCAAATGGTAAAATCATTAATCCAAGAATATTATCGACAAGTCAAATGATTAAACGTTTAACTTTTATTTATGAATCTCACATTAATAAGGAAATGTGCTATTAGAAGATGTAAAGTGTGCATTTGGACTCACTCATTTGCATAGGGCTTAAACCTTGATTTTAAACAAGTTATTTCCTGTATTTATAAATACAAATATATTCTCTAGATTTGCACGAGTACTGTAATCACTGGACCATTGTGACCTAATTAATACGTCACTAAAGCCTGCTGCAGTTTAAAGTGCAGTTGTGTGGTGGTCGTGCTTTACCATAATATCAAAGCTGCTGACACATCTCCATTATATCTCCGTTTTAAATCCTATTAAAGATTACTATTTCAAAAACCATACATAGCACTCACACCACAAGTCAAAGACAACATCACTTAAATGAGCTTCACATCTAGAAATTATAATGGATTGTAGTTTCATTGCAAAAATCTACAGAAGATTAATAATAATAATAATAATAATGAAGGGAAACAGAATCACAATACATTTTCAATGCACACTAATAATGTGAATGCATGAATCAGCGAGCATACGCCCTCATTAAATGATTACCTACACTTTGAAACAATTGTCTTTTAGTACATTTATTTAAGCAAATAATGCAACTTTCTGAAATTCATCTTTTTCCTGTTTTACCTCCAGAGCACCAAAACTATTTTGGCGTGGATGAAAATCTGGGTCCCGTGGCGGTGAGCATCCGCAGGGAGAAGCTGGACGAGGGGAAAGAGAAAGAGGGAATGCAGTACAACTATCGGATCACCTTCAGAACCAGTCAGGTAACTCTCCAACCAACCCTTTGAACACACTGATGTGAGCGAGCAGCAGACGTAAACACAGAACCGAACTCGTGTTGTTACATGTCCAAGAAAGCGTGACGAAACTCTGCTGTTGTGACAACTCAGTGGTAGCTACAACCTTTGCTACGAGTGGCTCTCAACGGATACTTTCGACCAAGTAGAGCAAAAATATTTCATACTTTGACATATTGTCTTTGGTATTTTAAGGTCATTCTTCTTAGTGCTCAGTCAGGCGGTAGAAGAAAATTTGCTCCGAGCTCCCCGACGTGTCCAGCCGCTCTGGGTCAGTCATGCAAACACAAAAACTATCAGAGTCGGTGTGATCGTCTTACACGCACACACTGGGTACGTCCTTATGTGCACTCACAACGTGATTAATCCAAAAACTGAGTTGCTTTGCCTGAGCGTCCGTGGTGGACTGGGAGCTCTCCTTGATTGATGCTGGTTGGTCTCATTCACTGAATAATTCAGGTGCAACAGATGCGTCGGGCAGGAAATGTCACCGATATCCAGCACCGTTCTCCCTTTGAAGCACCCCTCCCATGATGAAACATCTGGGTCACGGCGGCCATGGAAGTGGCATACAGACAGTGTTTTTAATGTCCCCAACCACTGTTGGGTCTATTTGTGTTAATTCCTGTCATTTAGCCTCAATGCCCTCTCTGGTCTCTCCCC